TTCTAGGAAACTAATACAGATGCCAAATAAACAAGCCCTAAAAACACATTTTTCACCTAATCTAATTTAAGATAATCTGCAGTCTATTTTTCAGTGGTAAAGAAATCAAACAGGTTAAATAAAATCAAACAATCTTGCCCTGTGGCTTCTGATGCTGTCTGTGTCTTCAGGAGATGGGTCAGAAAGACAGATGGGGCTTTATTCCAGTAGTTCTCGAGTTGGTTCCCGGGGAAATGTGGCAGGAGGACAAAGCAGGTAAAGAGCACTCTTCGTTCCTGCTCTGCCCTCACGAGTTCTTTGTGTGGGAGAGGGAGGGCTAATCATTCTGGGCTTTGATTTTCTCAACTATGAAATGAACATAATCATTAAAATCAAGTTTATAGGGGCATAATTTCATATAGAACCTCTGAGTTAAGTTGCTAGTAAGGCCCAACACGCACCACTTTTATTGCTTTTGTAAGTTTGTCATGAAAAAAAAAAGTGGTTCAGAGTTTAAATGGCAAAGGAATATAGGAATATTAGTCATAAACTTCCAGATACTTAGCAGAATTTATACTGTTCCAGAGCTCAGATACATCTGGGGGCAGGAAAAGACCAGAACGTGTACAAATAAAGTAGGAAGAGCCACGATAGTGTTAGGCACACAGAAGTCTGGAGCCAGGATAGGCTGGAGCTCTGTGACCTCCTTGGGCAGCTTATAGGCAGTAATGTGCCTCAGTTTTGTTATGTGTGCAATATAACAAAATAATTACAAAACTGCTCAGAATATGGTAAACACAAATAAATTAATGCTTTTAACTCAATATTAGAAACATAATACTTTAACTCAGTGGTTCTCAACCTGTGGGTTGCAACCCCTTTAGGGGTCAAAGGACCCTTTTAGGTCAAAGGTTGCCTTATTCATAACAGTAGCAAAATGACAGTTATGAGGTAGTTACAAACATAATGTTATGGTTGGGGTGTCACCACACCATGAGGAACTGTACAAAAGGGTCGTGGCATTAGGAAGGTTGAGAACCGCTACTTTAACTGATCAGTGGAAGAGTCAACCTCATTCCCAACACTGTTTTCACCTCTTTTCATATTTTGTTCGGGGCAAGCGAGCCACGGCTGTTTCCTCTCATTCTGGAATATGTGCTAAGACTCCAGTTAGACTCAGGAATGGCACGTCCACGGTCACTGAGGATTGCATCCAGGCTATAACACCACCCAGTGGAAGGGACACAGGAAGTGTACCTGCCATTGTTTCTCTGTCACCTTGTTCTTTCACCTGCACCTTTGTGACAGAATCAGAACTGCTTTCCTGACTTCTCACTCTTCGCTACTCCGAACTTTCAGGCCTTCCAATTGGCCCAGCTTAACCTTCAGGTAAATTTTTGCTCCTCTCTTTCCCAAAAGGCAGTTCCTCTGGATCCAGCCTGTCTACTCCTTGGTTTTCAGATACGGTCTGCTATTTTCTTTGTTCATTCTTCTCTGCTTAACCAAGGACGGTCCTTCATTTTCCC